AACCCTGCTATCTTTCGCTTCGCTTTTGCACCCACAGAAGCCTAGCTTCTGCTTTAATAAACTGCCTTGTCCCAAACCACAAGTTGTTTTCCATCTTACTCTCTCCCCTGTCTGGCTGGGAAGGGGAGTGATAGAGTGGCTGGGTGGGCACCTGGCATCCAGCCAAGGTCAACCCACCACATATGGGCACCTGGTTCAGATGGAGTTAAGGGTCTTCCAGTTCATTCAAACATCTGGTGCTATAAATATTCATGCCTTGGTATGATTCCAATTTTTTTTTGCATCCATTGGCTTCTTCTGCTAAAAAATATATGAAGAGTTTATATGAGAGGAACTTTCCTCCATCTGAGTGCTTCCTCAGAGTTATGACTGTATCTCCAAAAACTTCTGAAGGAGTAAGAAAATTGAGGTTGTATAAAAGCATTACAACTAGACTGAGTCAGACCCACAAACATTTAGGCCAGCATCCTCTCCCTGACGCCAATGCATGTATGATGACACATGCACCAGCAGAGAAGTCCTTTTAACAGCCAAGCAAGAGAACAGGGTTAATGTGGACTCCAGTTGAAACAGACTCTCCATCCTTGGATATATTCAAAATTTGTCTGGGCAAGGCCTGAGTAACCCAACCTTACTGGGCCTGCTTTGAGCAGAGTTCTAAACTAGTTGCCCTCTGCATGTCTCATACAAGCTATGATTCTGTGACTCTGATTGTTGTGTTTAGCATCCACGAATCTACTGCTGGTACCTGGGATCTTTTCAGTTATACAATGAGAATGTCAAAACACACATTTGGTATCTTTTTGAAGACACAGGGTATAGCTAGATGCCTATAGATGAGCTTGCCGCCCCAGCTCCCGTTAGAGTCCGTGGAAATCAAATCAATAAAGTTTGTAGTTGCACCAAGGTTTAAGAACCCAGGTTGCCCACAAACTAGGTTCTCCTTAAATTTATTACTAATTTGTTACATTTAAATTACAGCTTAGGTCACCCCTGCCAATTCGGTGCAATACAACTTGTGCACTTTATGTGGGTGAAGAACTGGGAATTTACTGCTAGTCTAATTAAAGTCTTCATAGTCTAATCAAAGAATTATGATTAATCTGGAAACAATGATACCATCAATTATACTCCCAATTATCCAAACATTACAGCTCATCCCTGTAATGATATAGTGAAAATCAAAATACTCAAACTTTATAATAATTGTCCTTTTCTATGGTATTATGTTCACCCTTCCACTGTTGCTCTGGCAACAGAGAGATCATGTCCTAAGGTTGATGGCTTCTATCTAGGAGGGGACGGTGTCATGGCAAATCATTCATGGTGTGATATGAGCAGCTTTTTACTTCTCTTTACTGAAAAGATGATGTTGGTGTCAATAGTTTCCTCCTCCTTGCTCTTGGGTCTGCTTAGAGCCATTATTATGTACTTGCTAACACAGTTTGCTTGCTCCTTATTCATTGGTTCACAATTTCATATTATACCAAAATCTACTATATGTATGTTTTACATAGATACCTGGGTATGGCTCTATTTCTTAGATCCAGTCAAACTCTCTCAAAGTATCAGCCAGCATCTTAGGCAATAAATATGGTTTCTCCCATCTGTTGGTTTCTAAGTTTCCAAAGGTTCTTGCCAATTACTTTTAACCTGTTTCTCCTTGTCTGGTGGCTTCTCTTTTTTCTGAGACTTAATATTGCCTGCAGATTTTACAGAGGCTTCCATGTTCAGTCCCCACCATCTTGCTTCTTATTATATTTGTCAGTGCAAACAGCCTAACAGCAGTATTGTCAGCACATGATCCAGCACTCCTGGAAGCTCCCACTGCAGAGTATTCCAAATGACAGAGAAATAAGCTCATTTAATTCTTACTCAGTGTACTTATAGACTTAGGGCTGGAACATGCCATGGTCCTGATTCTCAGTCAGTCATTCTTTTTTCTGATACACATCTGGTCTCTGTTTCTTTTTATTTCTGCTATGGCCACACTACAGAACTTGAATGGTGGTTGATGCCCGCAAGGTTTTCACCTCCAAGAGAATACGGCTGTCATGTGAACAAAGTTCCAGAAGTACAGAAGACTTGTCTTCTATACCTAGAATTAAACCCTTAAATATTCTTTCCCTCTTTCATCTTTCCCTGTATTATGTGGTGAGCAAAATTAGCCCTTAAGTGTTTTTTTCCTCAACTTTCCAGATAGAAAGGGCTAATCAAACAAGATATCCTAATAAAATAATATAAAATGAGCTGCAACACTGAGATGAAGTACCTTCTGCTATTTTTCTGACAAATATACCCTTATTAAAGATATATTCCACCCACTCTCTGGGTCACTTATCATCTTCCTCATCTTGTGCACTTCTTTTTATGTCTGAATTAATGTACGAACTCCTTGCTCATCCATGCAGGTCTCCTGCTGCCTTTGATTGATCTCTTATTTGCTGGGATGGAGCTTTCTTGAGCTTAAAGGAGATGATATTTGAATATCAACCAGCTCTCCTGGACCCTTCTTCTATGCAGGGTCGTATCCTATGGGATTATTCCAAGAAGCTCTCTGAAGAAGTTGGAGTCTGAGTTCCTGAAATGCAGATTTGTAGTCCTGATTTTTGCCCTGCTTCCTCCTCTTTGGATACTCCTCCTCCTGTATTCTCTTTGATCATGTGACCCCAGTGGTCATATGGCGATTCAGCCAAGGCTGCTCCAACTTTCATATCCCTGACCAATTCTTCCTTGTTTGTAACTATCAAGTCCAGGAAAGAACATTTCCTTGTTGACTCCTCGAGGCCAAGACAGCTGGGCATGGAGAAGAGAGGCTGAGGGGGATCCCATCCATGTTGTGCTGGTTTAAAGGTAAACCAGCAGGAGAAAGGAACCCAACTCAAAAGAGATTATGTCAGACTTACAATTTAATAAAAATAATACAATAAATGCAATTATATAGACAAACAATTGGCTTTAACCTACAAAACCCAGATTTATAGCCTGGCACCCTGGGGCATGAACAGAATTGTGTTTGTTGGCCCCCATGCAGAGCCCCACATGGTCCCACTGAGGAAAAACCTGTTGGTGAGAGTGGTGGTCACAGTCTAGCTGAGAGTGGTGGTTTCAGTCTGGTCGAAGTTCTGGTCCTCCTCTGGATCCCACAAGTGGTACCAAAAGTCCCAAGACCTCAAGATTATATACCCTCAGGTTTGGGCAGGAATGCCCGGTACCTCCCCCAGGGCGAGGAGTTCCACAATGGGTGATTGTGAGTCGTGGGTGTGAGGACAGGAATATCCTCCTGTCTCACAGGCCTCTTAACACCCAGCTTATAGCCAGGGGGTCAAGTGTGCTCTAGGCATCTGCTGCAAATGGTCTATTGTTAACAGTTTCTGGGAAATGACATAGAGGGTATAGAATACACAGTTTGGGTTACACCCACACAGTGATGAACTGGTCCCAGCTGTTCTAGCTAGCACACATGTGTATAAACACTTGAACACAGGGAATGAAGAAAAGGTGGTCAGACATTTTTCAGTGGTGCCCAGTGACAGGACCAGGAGCGTTTACCTTAGAATGAGATGAATTGCATCATGAAAGTGCCTGTTTTTCTCAACTCACTATAAAAATATCTAGATATCTGGATCTGATGCAGACACCTGTGACAGAGACACCTAAATTTAGGTGAGCTAACTGCTCTGTATTAGAATAAATCTAGGCAACACAGCTGACAAATATTTCAAGGTAAGCGTTCCTCCTTTCATTTAGCTGAAGTCACATCACCACATGGAGGATCAAACCCTTAGTGAACTGATTGGTTTAGAGCACTTCTGTACATTCCCAGTTGCATTTAAGACACTTAAACATAGCACTGCCCTTTTTGCCTCAAAACTGGCAGGAATGCCGAAATATCATGCCTGAAGTTACCTACACACAGCACACAATTGAACAAAAGCTGGCTTCAGAGGAAATCACCACTAAAGATTATTTCTCAAAATTTATTTTTCCTTTCTGCCACTGCAGCCCTGGGTCAGCTCAGATGTTGACGGACACTTCCACTCAGATTCACTGAACTAGGCATTTTTTCCAGAGAGCTACATGCTTTTGAAAACAAGAGTATGGAAAAGACTTGAGCAATTTTAATTACAGTTTTGACTATATGTTTACACATTATTAGTTCCTGAGCTGTGTTTGGATAAAATTTAGGCAACTGCCTCTAGCTGAAATAGTACACTGTATTCTGACAGTGGGACACAATGTTGTGTGACTGCTAGCATGATGGACTAGTGAAAAAGAACATTTTCTTTTCCATGTTTAACAAATTATCTGTTGAGGTAAATGGTCATATTCACATGCCACCTAAGCTTATGTGGCTAGCTAATAGGTGAAAACTACGTACATCATAAATCCTTTAAAAGTCATTTGAACTAAAATACAGAATGCTTACTCAAGAGGAAACTTGAGGCATGGGGCCTTAGAATTTAGGCTGAGTTAGCATTGCAGCTGGATAGGTCTGGCTGATGATATGGTGGTTAACAACATTTCTATTATATTCTGCTCTATTTCTATTTATATTTTGACTTATGTTCAAAGGAGACTAAGCTAGCATTACAAGGAGCCAGTGTAACAGCTCAACAGCACTGTAACCACTCTCTGTTTTTTAATGCAGTTGCATTACAAACACAGAATAAAAGAGTGGTTCCTAATAAAGGAGGTTTATAATTTATACAGATTTTTATTTTATATAGAAGAAAATCAATTTTGGCATAAGGCCTGCTCAAGAGCTCTATATATAGATAACATATACAATGATGAGGAGACTGAAAGTTATTTAGAACATAACCACTGTCAGTGCTGTGCAGGGCAGTGTCACAGCAGATCTAATTTGAATGATCAGCATAATTTTGATATTGAAAAGATAATTTTCATTTTATATCTTTTTCCAATAGATTTTTATATTGTGTTATAAGTGTTAGGAGAAATGCCAACACAGACTTTGTGACCTAGTAGTAACTTACCATGAATATATATTCTGCTTCCCTTTCTTCCTGTAGGACAGAAACCATGCATTGCAGTTAATACTTTAAAGCAATATTGGCACTGCAAGAGCATGGAGTTACTTGGTCTTTCCTCTTCTAATTCTATAAAAAAAATGATTTTCAGAGAGTATCAAGGCCTTAACTGTTGAGATTTTTTTTGCATACAAGCAATTTAAAAACAATATAGCTTTCAGATAAATAGATTAGTGGATTGAACATTCTTTTTCCTAAGGAATACATATTAAAACTGCTTTTTGCCTAATCATACCTTAGTGATATTACAAAAATGACAAGTATCACCAAGATCAGAATGGAAATGTCTTGTCCAAATAAGACTTCATAACACCATTGGATTTCTTCTTGCATCTGTATTGACTCTCAGTGCACTAAACCTACAGAAGTCTGTATTTTCTACCATTTCCTCTATTTTTGCCCCCCAGCATATCTCAAGGGTTTGGGGATTGTTTTCTTGTTCTTTGTTTTCTAACTGGAGGTATTTTCTCACATATTTCCCACATTCCTTCACAGTTTGGTGTATATTTACATTCTTTATTCTGTATTTCAACTTTACTGTCATTGGTTTTATTGACTCTGATTGACTTCTGCACATTCCATTCAACCCCACATTCAACCCCACTTAAACAGAAACTTGAAAGCCACATGGGGATTTTTTTGTTTGTTAAACACTGTACATTTACATAACAGCACATGTTGGCAACTGTCAAGATCAGGTGTTTAACATCAGATCTGTAGCTTAAAACTCACTGAAAAAACTAAGCCTTATAAATTTTAAAAAATTCTAGTTACTTCTCATCTTCTACATTTAGGGTTTTTTTAGGTAGTATCCACCATCAGTGTTCATTACACACAAATCTTTAAATTATTATATTATTTTACAAGTGATTTAAAAAAAAAATTGTTATAAACTCATAGTTTTTTAAGAGACAAATTAGTTTTAAAGAAAACAACTTCAAACTGGTACGCACTGATGTGTTTACTCCCGTGATTCATCTGCTTTGAACTGACTTCTCTCAAAGTACACGTACCTCTCCGAAAAGGTGGGACTTTGCAGATCCTTCTTAGTCACTGTTAGACCTTCCTCTTTCACCTGGCAGCCTCTGCATTCATTCTTCATAACAATACCCAGTTTGTGTCACATTATGTGGAAATACGACTTTTTAAGAAGAATCCACTCGGAGAGACAAGCACTCTCACGACAAGACGCTGCCCCAGTCTTTATTTATGGACTCTGTACCATTTCCTCTCGATTCACGGCTTACTCCACAAAATTGGCTAAGCAACCATCTTGCAGTGGCAGCTCGTTATGCTCTTTTTTTTTCTCCTGCAAAAGCACCGAGCTATACTGAAGAAGCTATAACTGCTGCTAACGTGAGCATCGGCTCCCTGAATTTGTCTGAAGCACAGCTATGGCTTTTTGGAAGATGATGTTACTTCACTTCTATGGTCTCCTGCATTAATCATGCTTGTGGTCAGCAAAGGTAATTAATTAATGCAAGTTGTAAGAGAGACAACAGAGACAAAGGGATCTATGCTACTAGCTTACAGTACAGCTGTTTTATGCACAGCTATGAGGAGCTTGTCAGAATATACCTGAACTAATTCAAAACTGTCTCTGTGACTTAACAGGAAATAACTGTGGCCGTACAGAGATCCATGCAGGCTGCAAAATCTGTCCTAGACCAAGGAAAATATTTGAGATGTTTCCCAACCTGAGCTCTGGGTTGCAGTAATGACATTTAGAGCTCATTCAGATACATCTGATGGTGTTTGGACGTACTCAAAGACCAGACTTGTAAGACTATACACATGTATATAGACACTAAAAAGAGATGATGGCAATGTAATCAAAAATCTGTATTCAGATATGAAATCTTAAAAGTAGCCCAGTGTTCCTGTTAATGATGGCTCTGGCATTGCCTACATTGCCTAAAAAAAGGAGAAGAAAAGATGAAGAAAACCAAGCCAACCTCCTCCTGTTTCTTACTAAGAAATTCAGTTCCAGTGGTTTGTTTAAGCCAACTTCCTGCTTAAAGTAACTATCTAAGCCCATATAGAGATCACAAATTTTATGCAGTTCATGTAACCAAGAACATGGAATTAAAACCAAATAGTTTAAGAAAGGAATTTGAAAACAGTGAGGAAAACAAATACAGTCAGTAAATTCACAGCCTGCTTTCAGGTCTGTCCATGAGTAAATTAGGTACATTAATTTCACTAGATTTACACCAGGAAAAAAACTATTTATTTCCCACTGACATCATCTGTATTAGAGGTTTAAAAACACATGCTAAAGATGTAAAACAAAGCTACAAAACCCCAAATTTTACTTTTTTTCAGTTTTTAGATAGGAATGTACAGTTTTTAGTTTAAATTCTTTATATGGTACAGCAAGCAAAATACGACAGTAAGTGTAACATTTACTTAAAATAGTGTAGAATTGTAGAATAGTATAAACATGAAGTATTGGTTTTATGTATGTTTATTAAGATAAAATTAACCTAGTTCTGAAATCTATCTACTCTATAAGTTCCATAAGAAACTTTAAAAATTTGAATAGGCTTATACAGGTGAATAAATGTAAAGATAAATACCTTGCTTATTTGCTGGCCACTGATTGAATAATGAACGAAAAACAAGATTAAAATTGCTAACAGTCCTGCACTGCTTGCCTTTGTGCAATTACGTTCAGATTTGTCTGAATTCAGATCCTATCCTTCAAGTCAACTTTTCACAGAACTGTGCTTGCAAGAACTGTTATTACCAAGAAGATTCTTTTCTTGGCTCATTTTCATAGTGGAGCAAAATTTAAACTGTTGTAAACTTGCTGACTAACAGCAATTAAGTTTCTTTTTTTCCTAAAACAAATCTGAAGCAATACTTTCTTTTAAATGTAAATTTGAAACTATTTTGACTACATGCTATTTAGAGCACTATTACTGTTTCTTTAAATACAGTTCTTTGACAAAAAATCACTTTTCTGCAGGATCCAGAAAACAGTGCTAACCATTACTGTCATTGTAGACCCTTAAGGTTTAAGAAGGTCAAACTGAAAAAGTAAATCTTAAAACTAGCATTAGTGTTTTAGTCAACAGGACTTGTTCATCTAAGTAATAAAGTCTGAAAAGTTCTGAAAGAAACATTTCTTACATTCGATATATATTCTGTACAAGAGAGTAGGAGAGAGATATGGACTTACTGGACAGAGTCCAACAATGGGCCACTAAGGTGATGAAGGGACTGGAGCATCTCTCCTGTGAGAAAAGGTCTCCAAGGTCTGGGACCCTTCAGCTCGGAGCAGAGAAGGCTCAGAGGGGATCTCATCAATGTATATAAATACCTGAAGGGAAAGTGCATAGAGTCAGGCTCTTCTCAGTGGTGCCCAGTGACAGAACCAGGACAATGGGCCCACACAGAAACACAGGAGGCTCCCTCTGAACATCAGGACACACTTTCTTTTTTTTTTTTTACTGTGATGTTGACTGAGCACTGACTTCAGTTGCCCAGAGAGCTTCTAGAGTCTCCATCCTTGGAGATATTTGAAACCCCTCTGGTTATGGATAGCCTGCTCTAAGTATCCCTGCTTGAGCAGAAGGGTTGGACCAGATGGCCTCCAGGGGCGCCTTTCAACATCAACCATTCTGTGATTCTGTGGTTCTTTGATTTGAAGGAGCCTTAGTGCTTGCCAATTACTTTGCATTATAGAGTAATATTATGCCATAATCAAAACATCTAGAACCAGTTAAAATATACAGATAACACTATTTTGAAAATACAAAGATTTGAAAGAAATGCATGACCTTCCTCTTTTAGCCTTTTACCAGTACAATGACATAACTTGCTATCCAATTACATAACTTTAAAAAAACCCGGAAATGTTCCAGAAAGAATAAGAACCAAAGAAGGACATATTTAAAGCCTAAATTAGTCACATGGCCTGTTTTGATATGTCCCATAAGTACACTGATAATATTCCCAAAGAAAAAGAAGTTGGGTCTCTGTATATAAGCTGTATCGCCCATCCAAAATTTGTCCCTAAGTATGAGACTCGCTCTCCACACACAACTTTAGTATCTCTGCTAAATCTACCCCTGTCTCTACTGATTCTTTTACCAAGCACTATGGAATATTTTCTAATTTCCCTATTAAATACATTCTGGTTCTTGCCAACTGTCCTTTCTTCCCTTGAAAGACAGGAATTGCACAAGTTCAGAACTGAAGGTTGCATCTTAATAAATGCTTACTTAATTGTATTCCAACATTTGCAGACTCAAATTCCATTTGGGAGCTATTAACTATAGCCCAAGTCAGAGTTTCTAGGACAGTGTATTCCACAGAACTGAGATACAACACTTAAAAACCCATGGAGATCAGGTAACAACTTGTTGGGCTGAGATGTCACATGTAACACTTGAGAAACAGTTTACTTTGGAGATATTCGTTGCTAACAATATAGAAGATGATAGAAGTTAAACTGATTACACTGATTACATGAATGGTCCAATTTTCACGTCCCATGAAATCTGGCAATGTAATTAAGAGATTTTCTTCTATTTGGTAGCTGAAGCACACTGCAATACTCTGTACAAACTTTCTTAAACTCAAGATGACCCTTACTAATAACTGTTCCTTTTAAGACAGAATAATTAAACATAGAAACATTCATTATGTATAGAAGTAAAGAGGCAAAAGGAGAAAATCCTGTTAGGAAAATAATAACATTAATCCATTTCTAACCTATATTTCTATGCCAAGTTTGTTTCCTAACTGCTAGGGCTTTTGATGTGCAACAGGAACATAGCAAATGCAACAAACAGGATCAGCCTGAAATTTTCAAACTTTTTTTTTTTCATAGCTGTGGTAACTGCTGCATTAGCTAGATACAGGCTGCAAGCAAGGTCCCAGGCACACACACAAAGTCTCACGCTTCCACCTCCTCCTCTCTTATAATCCTATCTTCACTCCCACCCCCATCTAGAAACATAACTGCGAGCTCACTCTCCACTTCTCTGCCCTCCTACGCACACCTATTGGGACTTCACTCTCTCAAGACCTCAGCCAGCTCATCAGTGATGACTGCCTGCACACCACCACTTTACCCTGCTGCTCAGGTCAGCCTCCACGCTGGCAAGCAGCCCACGTAAAGGTGATGACCTGGGCTGGAAGGTAAAGTTCTACATGCTGGTCATTAGTGAGAGCGAGAAGCCACTTTCATGACAGTATTTGCCTTGAAGATCAGTTATGCTGCATCACAAACACTCCACTGCTGCCAAGAGCTGCATCTATGGCTATTTCGAAATTGTTGCCTACCACAGCTACACATCTGGCAACCTGGGAATCTAGAAATGAGTCAGCCTCCTCTAATATACCTTTATGGGTGAAGGCATTTTTCACTGGTTTTATTCCAGGAGGCCATAAGCCCTTCTCAGCACCCCCGAGAGAACCGCGGGGAGCGGAGCGTCGCGGAGGAGGAGGAAGACGCAGAGAAGGAGCAGAGGCAGAAAGAGGACACGTACCGACGCCCCAGCCCTGTGGTGAGCGAACACTGCTGTCACTCCGGCGGGCCGGGCCGGGCCGGGCCGGGCGGGGGGGCGGTGCCTGTGCCGGCTCCGCCGCCGCGGGGGCGGGCCGGGGGCGGGCACAGCGGGGCACGGCCGGGGCGGCGGCGGCTCCGGGCGAGCGGCCGGGGGAGGGAAGGAAAGAAGGACCGAGTGACGCGGGGCCGGGTTGGAGGAGCTGCGGCCGCGCCGGACCAGGATGGATCACCACCAGCCCGCCAGCCGCTACCAAGTGGTGAGTGCGGAGTCCCCGGGGAGGCCCCGGTTCTCGCCTCCCGCCGCCCCCTCGGGTCGGCGCGGCGGGCGCGGTGCGAACCGGGGCGCCCTTTCGTCCCGGCCCCCGGTTCGCGACTCCCGTGCTCGGGGGTCTGGCAGGGATCCCCGGCGTTCCTCCAGCGCCGGACCGGGGCCGAGCGCGGCCCCGTCCCGCGGCGGGGTCTGACAGCCGGGCCTTGCTTGGCCGTGGGCGCTGCCCCCGCCCGCCCCCCCGGCAGCCGGAGGGGGCGGCTGCCCGGCCTGCTCGGCAGACCGCCTTTGCCCGCCACCCACTCCCCTCCCGCGGCTCTCCGCGGTGCTCGGTCCCGGCCCGGGGGCGGCGGGGTTTCCCGAGCACCTCCCTCGCCGGGGAGGGGGTGGTGGCTCCCGGGAGAGCGACCGGAGCAGGACGGCGATGCGCGCTGGGCTGGTGCGGAGCGGCTGGGGAAGGGCAGCGTTAGTTGTCTCTGGTTAGTACGTGCCGGGGAGCGAGGCTCTGAAACCCTGTGGTTTCTAATAGCCCGTTGCTGCCTGGCGTAGGGTAGAGTGTAAGGCCTGGATGAAGATTGGATGGAGGGAGCTGTAAAATGCAGGAGACTGACCTTCAGCCGGGCTCTGTGTCTGTGTGCGTATGCACATATACGAGCACACTACCTTAAGAACAGTCTTCAGTGCTTTGCAGTTCACTGAGACCAATTTAAATGCCCCTTCTTTCGTTCCTGAATTTCACTCCAGAAATAATCATTTAGGACGTAAAGATTTTTCTCCTGCCCGAATTGACTGCCCTTCTTGTTTCTTGCAGTAATTAGTTTAATGTCAATTATACTCAAAATATATAAGCTCTTTTGATTATTGGGTGGAAAAATGACTTAGGTGCAGTCATTGTCCTCAAAAGCTTCAATTTTATCCTTTAGTTCCTTGTACTTGATGGCTTTGCTGTCGATCTAAAGGTATGGAAGTCTGAAATCTTTGCTGCTGTCTGTAATTCGAATTTCTGTTGCAACCTTCTAGCTAAATCCTGATTTATTTATCTTGGGGTGTTCGTGTTTTATAACTCGAGCACTGAAAAGAATGTCCACAAAAGTAAATCACATTTACTTCTGTGCATGTGTAAATACTTGTATTCAGATTCTTCCTAGGTTAAGATTTAAGAAAAAATACTGGCAAAACCCTTTATTATATTTGGAATATTTATTTGGATAGTCTTAAAGCATTGAAAATTTCTATGTGCTTTTGAGCACTTATATACGGAGATTGTCATGTATCTGATGTGCACACCAAGCACCCCGTGACTTCTCATGAGTGGTGTGTGCCTTAAGATTGCCTCTTGGTTGCCAACTGCTTTACGGGTCAGTGCTTTCTAGCACACTTCTTTTCCTGCACCATGCTTCCGTAACTTGAAATTAGTAGGAATTCTAAGTCATTCCTTCTTCTCTGCAACGGAGAACGAAAATGCTGGCATAGCGTTTTCACAAGAGCCTACTGACACTATCTTCCCTGAGGCCTGCGTATGTTTTAGTAAGTAACCTGGGTATGTTTTAAAAGACCTTAAAAGCATATGGTATTAAACTTCAGGCAGATAAAAGTGAAACTTAATTCAGTTCCTCAGAGGAGTTAACAAAAACATGGTAAGGTGGAATGGAGAAATAATATGCCTTTGTTATATTTCTATGGTAGGTTTGTTAGGAACTTCCAGTGATGGTGCTGGTGTCCAACTCTGGGTAAACGTGCTTTGATGTGGCCTTCCAGAAGTTCTTATCTTAACGTTTGACTGCATGAGTTGGCCTCCCCAGTTCGCTGTGTATATTAAACTGTGTGGTCAATTTGTGGCATGAAATTTGTTATGGAAATGTTCTCTGAAGCCTTCACAATTAAAGCATGTGAAGTTTTGTCAAATTTTTTGTAAATCAGTCTGAGATAGTCCAGAGTTTTAAACCTTCCTACTTACTGTCCCATAGGAAAGAGTATGTTGTTTTATTTGCTTGGTTATATCTGACTGCTAGAGATTGAGATTTTTGTTATGTTAATTATTTACTGTTTTGGGTCAGGGAATGGAAGGAACAAGGCAATTGCAGATATACTTAATTAGCACCTGATTATTCATGTGATCTTAAGTGTTGTGGTGTATTTGCTTACATAATGGCTGTAATAGGTACTAAGCAATAGATCATTTCAGATTTTGTGGTTGTGTCCTAGTTGTTAAAGACAAAATATAGAAGAAAAAGACGATTTAATGTAACTAATACCACATTTTATGAATGTTTTATGAATTTAGTTTTATGACTATCCAGCTCCCTAGTGCTAAGCTTGTGGAATCTGGCCTGTTCTACTGTGGTCCCTGAATGTCTTTTTTTTTTTTCTTTTTCCTCCCATGAGAAATAATAAACACCTTTTTTTTGGTTCTCTTTGTAGCCATTCTACCTTTACTTGTAACTGATCTGCTTGGTTCTATTCAGGAAAAATTCTCATCTAAAGAGAAAGAATTGCAGATGTATATTATTATGGAAAGAATTACTG